GTTGGACTCCATTGAAGTGAAGGATTGGAATGAATACGAAAACGATAATGTTGTTCTTGTGTTGCACTGGGTAAAGGATTTCCTTGGGCAAATATTGGTAAAACTAATTCCTGACCGTTGGCACCGACAATTACAATATCTTTTTTACTTGGACCTGGATTTGCCTAAAGATAGAATTATTTATCTCTTTTTTAATTAACAATTTATTGAGCAAATGTTTCTGTTAAATAATATCTCAAATTGGACAAAGGGAGCGTATTAATTTTTTATATTTGTAATTCATTTTCAAAAATCGTAAGCATTAAAAAAAGAATTTACAAATGTTTTAAAATCAAAATTCTAATTTTAAGAGAATAAGTTAGAGAGGCAGAGTAGGTTACTCTACTCTCGTCTCTAATTCGACTTTTAGATAAATGTCTTTTGAGTCCATTAGAGTATTGACTCTATATATTTATTTCTCTTATATTTAAATATTATGTACATAATCCTTTGCTAAAATTAATTAGAAATTGACAGGTATTAATTACACAATTTTCTGTGAAAAAATAATAATTTTTAATTACTTCAATTTTATAAGCTCTCCCTCCCCCTCCCTCCTCTTATTTAACAGTTAAATTTTAAAATTAAAAATTTACCTGTTGTACACGTAATGTAAATTCAATAAATTGATTGTATATCAACCTTTGATCTCCCAAAAACTTTTCTGGAGTGTAAAAATAAACAGGGAAATCATCCAACTGAAAGAGAGTTTTTATAAATATTTAAAGAATTTAATTATTTTTACTTGGCTAACAGCTGCAGCTTTATCTAATTGTGCCCATTGAACATCTTCAGGACGAGCAGAAGAGGCCCCAGTCCATTTTTCCACATCCTCATTGAAATAGGAAGAAATATTGACAGAATAAAATCCATCAGCTGGAGAACAAATGGAGGAGTGTCCAAAACAAAAACAGGGGGTACACCCAAATGGATTTTTGGCTGATAATTGGAAATGGCCAGGTTTACATTGAGAACAGGTACGGCCTTCTACATTCTACAAAAAATAAAATTGAAGAGAATTGGATTCTCTTTTTTTAAATCAAGTTTTGTTAGGCTATATCTCCTTTTAGGTTTAAACAATTTTTGAAAGGTCTGAACAAAAAATATACATTAACATTTCTATCAATAAATTTTGAAGTTTCCCCCATTTCTTTTTACCTCTTTACACGTGCAAACTCCGTCATTGGGTGAACAACTTGGCGTGTTATTAAGAGATCCAGAAACATCACATTTACAGTCTTTACAACCAGCTGAACTAAACCCATAAAACCCAGATTCACAACGATCACAAAATTGTCCAGTCACTCCTTTAATTATTTGATTAATTCTTTCTAAAGTTTTAAAAAAATCACCAGGTTTGCAATGACATTGCCCCTTTTCGTCACATTGTCCCCCAATAGAACCAGTTTCACTACAATGACAAGGACGACAATAAAGTTCATTTTCGTGTCGCCAATGATTTGGAAGGCATTGTTCACAATGGGGACCCTTTGAAAAAAATAATTTTTTTTCCAAAATTCTTCATTTATTTACTTGTGTATTTCCAGCACAATCAATGCAATGCCCTCCATGTCCAGTTTCCTCAAAAAGTTTAGCATCAAAAAAACATCTTTTCGATAATCCACTACAATTACAAGGTAAACATTCATTTGCCTCCATTGCTGTTGCTGGACGCCATGGGCGATCGAGATAGAAAGGAGCACATTCTCCACAATCAATGCCTGTAGTGTTGTGTTGACAATCACAAACCTTTATTTAACAAAAGATTTAGATTTTAAATAATTCAGGAAATATTTTTTAATTAAAAAGAAATCTGGTTACTCCAAATTATGGGGATAGACAGAAAAATAAAACTAAAAAATCCACAATCCTTATTTAAAAATTCTTTATGTATTTTTCAATAACTAATCTCAGTTAATGGGAAAATTATCCAACATGGATTTGCGGCATCTTTAAAAACGTTTAGATACCATTTCATGATTAGCATGACCATTATTTCATCACAGATTAGTTTTTTTTTTTAAATTTAAAAAGCAATAAATTATTTCTATACCACTTAACCACAAACAACTTAATTATAAATTTATTTAGTTTATTGAAGTTTTTAGTTAATAAAATTTAATTTTCCTAACCAATTGTTGAGCTACTCCCTCTCCCGTTGATTTAGTACATTTATTTGCATGTCCATTACATTTACAACGTCCACCAACAGCAAAATCACTAATTCCATAATAATATGAACGTAATACTCGATTATCTCCAAATATTTCATCCCCAAAAGTATTCATTCGGACTAAACAAATTCTTATTTCTTCTGCAGTTACCCAATCCTTTTTAAATAAAATTTAATTTAAAAATTTTATTTTATCACTTTCCAGTCTCTAAATTATTCCAATACTTTAATTTTTTAGAAGTGGGAGGAGTCAAAATTAGGGGGTTTTAAAATAAAGCTGTGGAATAATTCAAAGAAATATTTAAATATTTCCATACTTGTAGCACTTCACTTTCTTCAAAAATTTCAGAAGAAGGCCTTCCCTCCAAAGTAGAAAAAGCAATATTTCCCCCAGTAAGCGGGGAAATATCAGAAAATTCTCTCGTACATTGAGCCATAGCTTCGTTACCAGGAAGTATCGGTGCTTTCTCGGGTAATTTAAATGTTGAGCGACAAGAACCGCTTAAATAATTTAAAGTTTTTTTAAACTTATTTTAGTTTTACTAACATGAGAAAAATAAGTTAATTAAAGTTTTGATTAGAATGTTTCTCATTTTTAATTAAAAATATGGATCTATACCAAAATTTAATGTCCATTTCTAGAGTTGTCGGTTCCTGGAAATTCTTTGGATATTCGAACCGAAAAATCCTCGGTTTGGTTCAGAACCGACATTCTTTCGAAATGATTAAAATGTAATAGCTTCATAATTTCATTAATTTTTATAGAATAGCTCTTCCCTTATAGCTTATTCCCAAATATAATTTCCCCCTCCCAAATTAATTTACCTATAATATTGCCAAGGTATCCAATCATCAGTATTTTTAACTTTTTTGTAAATAACAAAACTTTCAGGACGTGGAGAAACAAATTTTAGATGAACATAAGTTATATCAAAACGTTTAAATAAACGAAGAGTTAAATTAACTGTTTGGGGATATTGCATTCCCTCAGCCATCGTTTCTGATTGCCAAAATGTTGCGTTTTCAGGATTATTAAAATCTTTATTTTTTTAATTTTTTCAGAAAAAAAAAATTTAAAAACCGGTTAAATAAATTGGTGAATGTGCTAATTGTGGAACTCGGACATCACAAACATCACAAACTTTGTTGCTACCCATATGGCCTGTTTGGACACAAAAACGTGTTGGGGCACGGACACCACAAGTATTTGTTGCCTTTAAATTTTAAAAAATAATTTTGAACTCCCTCCCTCCTCTTCCTCCTTCCCTCCCCTTATCTTCCATCTCTCCTCCTTCCTCCCTTCCTTCCTCAATCCCTTCCTCAATCCCTTCCAATTTACCTCAACTTCCAAATTAAAAGCAACATTTATAAAATCAGGAACACATCTTTGTGGTCTTTTAAATTCATCATAACAAGCACTTAAACTTGGCTGATAATGATTTGGATCGATATGAGGGACTTTAGGTTCAGGTCTATTTAGTTGTCCATTAATTATTAAATTTTGTATTGAAATAAATATTAAAATAAATAATAATAAATTTGTAGTTAAAGGCATTTCCCACACCAAGCCTTTTTGAAAAGATTATTATTTTTGGCTAGAAATTAAAAAAAATACAATTATTGTCAACTTTTGGATATAAATTAACACAAATTCAGAAAATATTTTAATATCGAAGTTTAATTTCATTTCAGTCAAATTTGAAATATAACTGAGCTTAAAATACATAAGACGGCTTATGTACATTAGGCATTGTCATTGTAACAAGGTTTTACTATAATCGGGATTTACTTCCTTTTCAGGCATATTTTAGTTTTAGATAATTTAAATATTAAAATTGAAGTAAGTTGATTAAAAAATACATATTTAGAGGCTTTGTTTATGCATAATGTTTAAAAACAAAGGAAAAACAATGTAAAGTTTCAGAAAATATTTGTTTGTTGAATATTTCTCAAACATTTTTACAGATTAATATCTAACAATAAAGGATTTTTTAAAGGATTTTTCAAAAACTTTAACTAAAAACTCCATTTATTTATTACAATTTTCTAAAACTTTTAAGCATTAACTTGTGTTGCACAAATAATTAATCAATATAAAACGGCGAACATCTCCTTCCCCTGACCTTTTTCTTGGAAAATATGACAAACACAGAATCAATATAGAGAGGAGAATGTTGTTTGGAGAATAAACAAATTTTTTTGTTAAAAGAAATAATATTTTTTTACAAAAAATGATTTTAAAAAAAAAAATTATTTTTTATTTACAGACAGAAAAAAGATTTATTTTATGGAAAAAAGTGTTCTTTTCCCCTCAATGAGTCATTAAAATGTGCATCTCCTAAAAACTTTTAATTTTTCGTTAAGCATATGGCTGCTAAATAAAAATATATAAATTAGAAACAGGTGTTGTTTTTGTTTTTAGATTAAAGCACAAAAACTATTTTAAAATAATAAATAAATAAATTGATTTATGTTAAAAAAGTTTTGAAAAATAAGTGGTGGACATAAAGATAGGGATAAAATTAAGTCAACTAAGCAACTTCGAAATAAATTTTCACCCACTTATAGATTGTTTTAAATTTTCATTTTGGGCTCATTCGAAAGCCCTTTAAATTTGCTATAAACTTGTTAAATTTCATTTTTTATGAAAAATATTTCGATTAGTTGTAGCGGCAAACGTTAGTTATGTATATAGGCTAAATTCAGCTACTTTTATCCCTACTATCTTTATGTCCACTAATTATTATTATTTCAATTTCTTCTTTAAATACAAAAAACAATTTGTTATTTAAAATTTAAAAATTAAAAAATTTAAACAAATAAAAACAATTAAAATATATATTCTCAAATAACCACAATTTCCATTATTTTTTAAAGTAACATTTCTTTCATTAATTAAATCATTCCAATAATCATTATTCTCTTTATTTTCTTTAATTTCTTCTTCTTCTTTTTCAATTAAAATTATTTTATTAGTTTCAGAAATTCTTTTTCTACATTCTTCCGGCATTAATAAATGTTCTCTAGATATATGTCTAATACGTTCAAATGCTTTATTTATAGATTCGCTTATTTGACGATAAATCTTTTTAAAATTATTATTTAATAAAAATTTAAAAATATTTGAGAATTTTGAGAGAAATATTAAAATTAAATAATTTTTTAATTTTATTAATTACCGTAAATTCTCTAATTAAAGCACAGTGCTTCTATTTTTCGATCCTCTCGTAGGGTGTGCTTATATTAGAGACTGTGCTTCTATTAGAGAATTTACGGTAATTATTAATAAGGTTGGCGGATCCGGATATCTGAAGATTCCGTCAACCTTAATCATTAACTATTAATTAAAATAAAATTCTAAAAAAACTATTAAATAATAAATTAATAAAAATTGGAGTTTTTCTGATTTTTAGAATAAATATTGGCAGTAATGTAAATGACTAACTTTTCCTAACTAAAATTATTTTCTAAAATTTGTTTTTGTCAAAAGTCAAAAAAACTCCTTCACTTTATTTATATTTACTTGAATTGCATTTTTTGAGCATTTAAGCTTTATTCCCGCATAACATTTTGTATAATCATTCATTATTCTTTAAAAAATAAAATTTTAATTTTTTTAAATTAAAATTCTTGATTACCTACAAAATTGCCATAAACTAATTGTTAATTCTTCTTTTAAAGGTAAAGGTTTACATTTTTTGCCAACTTCCTCTAAATGTTTTCTTTGACAAGTAATAAATTCAGAAAATACTTTTTTTAATAAAATAATTTTTAAAAATTATTTTTCAAGAAACTTTTAGGTTTATCAACAAGTATTCGACATATATTTGTCCAGTAACCAACATTTGCTAATTCAACCATTTTTTGTCTGTTGTCCATACAATTGTCTGAACATAATTTAAATTTTTCTACAGACCTTAATTTTTTTGATAAATTTTATTAAAAGAATTATTCCCTTTTTATTGGAGAGTTTACTTTACTTTTTATTTTTCTATCCACCCCCTTGATATATGGCAAGTTTTAATGTTATTTGAAGTTGAGATGAAATATTATACTTGAGTGAAATATTTTACAAAAGTAAATGTTATGCCTGTACTTGGAAAAAGAATCTGACATTATCATGTTGTTCGTTATCTGAAATTGGGCCCTTTCCTCTATAAGTCTACACTGTTTCACAAACCCCACACTTTTATTTTTATCTCCCCTCCAGAGAATTTTCTACAAACATAATATAATTTACTAAAAACATACAAACAAATCCATTCTGATTTTCTAATTACAACAACATTATTTGCACTATACCTAATTTTTATTTAATTAAAAAAATTAATTTAAAATTTAACAACCTAATAATTGAATATAAAGGGGATAACATATCTAAAGGCGTTCTAAATCCAACACCGGCAATTGAAGAAAGTGAATGTTTAAATATTTCACTACAATTTTTGATACACGATAATTTTGTTGTCGTTTCACACGAAAAAAGTGAACGGTGAAATACTTGAAATTTTGGAAATTTTTTTAAGTGTTCAATTATTTTGAGGATTATATTTGCTATAGTATATGTAGTATACCGGTGGCAAGGTTCCTGTAAAAATAGTGGTATCGTTCGACTCAGCTCGTCGAGACGAATCGAATGGTATGGGTCTTTATTGAAACGTTACCACCGGTATACTATACAGCCATTATATTTTTTAATCCTTAAAATTTATTGTAGTCATACATAATATATCTACATAATTTTTTAAAATTAATTTTAAATTTAAATTACCAATTAAAAACATTAAATAAATCAAATTTGAAAATAAACTTTTAAAAAATAAATACATTTTTAATAATTTAAGAAAAGTCCCATTTTTGTTCTAAAAAGAAAAAAACAAATATTTTCTTATTTTTAAGAAAAGAATGCCGGAAGAATTGAACAAAGAAAGGATTTATTTTAATACAAAAAGATTTTCAATTAAATAAAGCCTTTGATTATCCAAAAAGAATATTTATAATTTAATTTTCTTATTCTTTTTATTTTTTCCTTAAATAAAAGAAATTGAACTAATTATTTAAAAAACATTTATTTAAATTAAATAACACATGAAATAAAAAAATATTAAAATTAAATTAAATATACAAAAAAATAATTAATTTTTAAAATTAAAATGTTAAAAAATATCCTTAAATTGTTAAAAATTTCCAAATAAAATATCCCCTCTCAATGCCCATCCTCTATTACGTTTTAAAGCTTCCTCATAATGACATAGACGAAGAGGGGTATTTATATCATTAAATTCAGCAGAATACCCCTCCAACGATTTTTCTTTCTTTTGTTGTTCTTCTGTTCTACATAAAAGGGCACTTTCAACAAGAATTGTCTGAAATTATTACATTATACATAGTTTGTTGGATATGACTGGAATAACTCATCAGTTATTATAGTGTAAGGAAGAGAAAGATCCAGCTGGCTAGCATTTAATACGCTCACTAGGCGAGGGTTTAAGATCTACATATTAAAAAAAGTTGAAAGCAGCGTCCCGGTAGCTCAGTTGGTAGAGCACCTGTATGTGGTGAGCGAAAGCGCCTAGCAATAACTGCCCGGAGGAGGATTAAACTTTTACTTCACTCTTACTATAGTAACAATTTGGAGATTTTAGGATATTTGTGAATTGAAATGTTAAAAGGACGGAATAAAGAAGGGATAACCCAAGGCTTTTTTAGTTGCCAAACTCACCACAATCTCAATAGCACAAAATTGGAATAAATAAGAAACACCCTGCTCTATATCCTCAGCCTCAATCCATTTAAGAAATCCTTTTCTCAAAGAAGGCAAATCCCTTCCTTTTTTAGAACAAAAAGATTTTTGTCTAGCGTCAGAAAAACAATCATATAAATGTCCGTCCATTTCTCGAACTCTGTCAGCAATTCGACGCATTCTTTCAATTTTTGCTGGGTCTTGCCAGTCGTTGTCGGGTAACCAACATTCATTAAGAAGAGTGCCGAGAACATCCATTTCTTTAAGAGCATCCAAAACATGTTTGCTTCTAAAAAATTAATTTTAAAATTAAAATTTTATTATCGAAAAATATTGTCTAAAATGAAATATTATGATCGAAAATAGAGTTAACTTGTGGAAAATATAGAATATAGAAATCAGGGCATAATTTTTGAAAAATTTACGAAAATTAAAAAATTTGAGTTTAACATGACTCCTCCAGAAATGTTTTAGTCTATAATAATGTAGAAAATTTTGAAATCAGTTGTCCAGGATATATTTTCCAAGTTTATTTAAAAATACACTAACAATTTCCCTTTATATTCATCCTCAAGATCAATAGCAGAAATATTACTGTTTTGATTAAAATCATCTTCAACAATTTCTTCATTTTTGGGAAGAGTACTTTCATAAGCATGAGTAAGTACAGGAATAATTTCAACTCTCTATTATTAAAATTATTTTTAAATTAAAATAAATTAATTGACCTTTATGTAGGCAATCATTCTTTTAATTATCAATGGGTGACGTCTAAATTTATTTGTGGTAAATATTAAAAATAAAATAAACAAAAAATTACCTAAAACAAAAAAGAACATCCAAAAAGCCAATTTTAGTTTTTCTAAATTTGTTAAAGAATTAATTTCAAAGAAGGAAAATTTCGAAGAACCTACCCACGTATTTGAGATAATTTTCGACTTTTATTAACAATCATCCTCAACTGAGTTTTAACTGTAGAGTAAACAAAATCTTGGCACTCATCCAAAGAAGAATTTGAATCCCCATTAGAAAACATTAAAGCACTAAAAAAAATTTTAATAAATTAGTATTTAATTTATTTTTTATTTTTACCAAATAATTTCTCTTGCTGGATATTGTCGGTTTGTGGTCATTTTTTGAATTAAAAACAAAAATTTAAAAATTAATCTGAAATATTTATAAATAAAAATATTAAATTAAATCAAACTAATAAAGATAAAAACTAATTAACAAGCAGTTCAACAATATTTATTACAAGATATTTAAAAATTGAACAATTGCGAGATAACAACATTAAACAGAGGTCTATGTATGTAAATAACAAATTAAAAATATTTGGCAACAAAATTGATAATTTTCTTCTATTACAGGGCTCCGATCGAGAATAAGATAAAGAACAAAAAGTTTAATTTTAAAGGGTATACGAAATTTTTATTCGAGAAAATTTGACGGTTTTAGTTTAATGTGCAGAAATTCTCTTTCATAAACCCTGGATAAATTTTTTTTGGATATTTTGACAAATCTCTCTCTCAAAGGAGAGAGAGCAAAAATATTTTCAGTTTTGACATGTCAGTTTTAAAGGAATGCCTTTGATGAGGGATCGGAGCCTTGTACTAAACACATAATTTAAATAACTTTTAATAACCAGCAGCTTGTAAATATTCCTGCAAGTTTTGTGTATGGTTTTTCATAAATTGCCCGTTCAATTTTATTCGCTCCACTATACGTTGAATGGGGCTTTGTAATGTCTCCATAACACTTCCAGAAAAAATAGATTTGACGAAATTCTGTAAAAGAAAGTTTAAAAAATATTTCTAAAAGTAAATATCGTTTTCTTTTAAAGGACCTGAAAGTCGTTAGAATCAGAAGCTGAGCAAAAATGATTTGAACTCATCGAAAGAGCTTTCTCGAACAAAGATGAAGATGGATCCCATAGATTTGTCATTAAATCAATATTATCTTTAAAAAAGTTCCAGGCAAAACGTTGAGCTGCGGAATTAGTAGAACAATTTACTGATGCAAAAAGCTTAAAAATATCTTGACTTCTAATGTTATTATCAAGAATTCCATGATTAAATATTTGTTCCAAAAGTTTTAAATCTGTGCATTGACCGAGGGCTAAAGTAGAAGATTTATTATTATATTTTAAACAATTTCCTTACCCATAATACATGTACTTTCGATTTCAGCAAAGTTACAAGTAGTCAAAATATTCTGTAATGCCTCAATAATTTTGGCATCGTTGGACCTAGCGGCAGTTGCATAAATAACAGAACGCAGTTCTGGAACAAGTTCAGCTCCTTTCTCTACATGCGCTTTAAATTTATTTAATGCCACTTCTATAGTTGGAAGATGTTTAGACCGACTTAAACGACCAATTAGCAAAGAACGCAATTGGGATGTTTGCATATCTACAAATTTTTTAATTTTAAAGATAAATAAAATCACAACCTTCTCCTTCCTTTGGCTCCCATCCGTAACGCTCAGCAACAGGCTCAATGACTTTACAAACAAAGCGATTAAATCTCTCCAATAATCGACCATCATCGACCAAATTAATAAGAATATGGTTTATTTGATAAAGACAGGATATAATAGATTGCCAGACAATTAAATTATCCTCCTTACCGCAAACAGAAAAAAATTCCAAAAATTGTGAAATAGGGAGAAGTCCAGCAGTGATTACCTAAAAATATTTGAGAGAAAGAAGAAACAAATTGTAACCTCAAAAAGGTCATCAGCAATCTGAAATCTATCAATAACATCAAGTTCTTTGTCTTGAATTCCTTGAAGAAGCTTTTTTAACATTTCGTCTGGATAGAAGACTCGAAAGAAAGAAGAGAAATTTGAATTGACCTCAAAATTAAGAAATCTTTTAAAATCAAAGAATAAAAACCTTAATCCATTCTGAAGACTTAACACCCTCAATAACAAATTTATCTTCTTCTTTGGTTAATAAAAATTTTGCAGCAGGCTTTGAAGGATCAGAACGAATAGTTACAGAAACTGGAATTTGCCAAACTGGTTTATTTTCATCAATACTGCCATCAATTAGAAAACGTCTTTGTTTTAAAATCAATTCACGTTTATCGCCATCCAAAATTTTTTCTTGGACAGTTACCAAAGGAAACCCAACTTGTTGTGTCCAAGAAGACATTAAGGCACCAACATCCTTAAATAATTTAATTTTATAATTATCTTTACTAACAAGTTACTAACAACTCCTGATGCTTCACTCAAGCATTTCCAAAGATCATCAGTTGTTGCATTAGAATATTTAAAACGGTCCAAATAAATTTGTGCACCTTTCTGAAAGGCTGGTTCGCCCAAATAATTAAACAACATTCGAATAACACAATTCGATTTATCATAAGTAATACTATCATAAATATCTTCTAATTCATTTGGATTGTTAATTGGAACCTTTAAAAATAAAAATAAATTGAAAAAATCTTAAAAGGTACTTCAATTGGATGTGAATTTCTCATTGAATCTCTCCCCATTGCAGAAACTGTTTGAGAGCTTACAAAGTCGAGCCATAATTTAAATTCAGGATAATTATAACCGCTCATTACAAATTCCATAAATGTAGCAAAACCTTCTTTCAACCATAAATCACACCACCATTTCTAATTTAAAAATAAATATTTGTAGTTTAATAAAAAATTAACACAAACCATTGTTGTCAAATTACCAAACCAGAAATGACCAACTTCGTGAACTACTGTTTGAGTAATATTTTGCTTTGTAGATGAAGAGGTCAAAACAGGATCACAAAGGAGAGCGGATTCACGAAAAGTTATTAAACCCCAATTTTCCATAGCACCTAAAAATTCTTAATTATTTATTGCCAAAAATTTGAATAAACCCATAGAAAATTCAGGAATTGCAATCAAGTCACATTTTGGAAGAGGCATTTTAATTCCATACCATTCAGAAAACCATTCAATAGCTTTAACGGCAACTGAAAGTGAATAATGTCCTTTATCTTTCTTTCCGGGCACAGTATAAACACGAACAATACATCCATCATTCGTTTTTGACTAGAAAAATAATTTTAAAGATAAAAATTAGAAAAAAATTACCTCAATATATTCAAATTCTCCAACAGCAAAAGCAACCAAATAAGTGGACATTAATGGAGTTCTGGCAAATGTCACCAATTTTTTGCCGTTTCCAATAACTTTTTCTTCAGTAACATTCATATTAGATAAAGCAGTTAATTGTTCATCTACTTCCAATTGAATATCAAAATGTGCTTTATAGGTAGGCTCATCAAAACAGGGAAAAGCACGTCGAGCAAAAACACTTTCAAATTGTGTACTAGCCAGCATTTTCTTATTTCCGTTTGCATCTTTGTAGGGAGATCTAGTAGTTAAATATTATTTATTGAATCCCCTCCTTTTTTCCTTCATAATGCTGTTAACACAGTCGGTTGTGCGTCGGTAAGAGCCTATTCTATGATGGTTCTATTCCATCAATATCCACCCCATTTTTCCACGGCACGAACATTAATAATTAAATAACAACCAGAGATTGAGCCATCAAAAATTATAATAAAGAATTTACCTATAAAACCCCGATAATTCACTGGAAATTTCGCCGTTAAAATCAAAATTTAGTTCAATTCTCTGAGGTGGTAGCTCACTCGGAAAATTAACTGTCAATAATTCCCATTTACGATCAAGTTCGTTTTTAATCTCTTTAATAACTAAAACAAAAATTATATTTATTAAGATTTTAAACAAAACCCGTTCCATCAGCTAATTTCAAAGAAGCACTTTTGATTTCAATTCCTTTCGAGTAAAGCTTCAAATAATTTGTTGGTTTCAAAATCTATAAAAAAGGTCAAATTGTTTTAGAGTAAACAAAACAAACTTACATCCAAATGTATTTTTTCTGAACCTTTAAGTTTAAATGTTTCCAAACACGGTGCAAGCCGAATCTCGTACCGAGACGTTTTAGCGAGCTCAGGTATTCGAGAAAACTTATCCGCCATCATCAAGTTAGAGACCCTGGGGACCAATAAATGGTGAAGCGATGTCCGTAAGAGATTAATGTTTGCTTTAATGGTAAACTTGTAAAAGAATCTACAAAATAATAATCTCAAAAAGATCTCCTTCTTAAATAAAAAAATTTCAAATAAATCCGTTAGAAATACAAACATCAACTCAATATTAAAAAAATAATTAACAAATATTTATGCCAAAATTTTAAAATACCACATTAATCAGATCATATCTACAACAAATTTAATCAAAATTATACTCATGTATTATGATAATTTTAATATCAATTCATCTTCTCAATGTCAATAGTAACCTAAAATCCGGCGGCTTGAAGATATTCTTTCAAACATTTTGAATTGTTCTTCATAAATTCACCATTTAATTTTATTTGTTCTAATACACGAGAAATTGTATTATCCAATGTTTCCAAAACGCGTTCAGTAAAGTTTTCTTTACAAAACTTCTAAATAAAATTATTAAGGTTTTAAAAAATAATTTAAAGACCTGAATATCATCAGCATCGGAAGCAGTACAAAAATTATCTGCACTCCATAAAAGGCATCTTTGAAACAAAGAAGAAGCCGGCTCCCAATACAACATTAATAATTTCAAATTATCCTTAAAAAAGTTCCAAAGAAAACGTTGAGCAGCAGAATTGGCAGTCGAATTAACGGAGCCGAATAAATAAAAAACGTCTTGACTTCTAATGTTTCTGTCAAGAATTCCATGTTCGAATACTTTTTCCAAAAGTTTAACGTCTGTGCACTGGCCAAGAGCTATAAATATGAATACATTAATAGTTAAAAATTTCAAAACTATAACAAAATTTAAAAACAAACCAGCGATACATGCAATCTCAACTTCAGAGAAGTTGCAAGTTGTCAATATCTTCTGCAAAGACAAAATTATTTTCTCATCATTAGAACGGCCAGCAGTTTGCATTATAGTCGTTCGGAGCTCAGGCACTAATTCAGTGCCCTTTTCAACATGTTCATTAAATTTGTTTAATGCAATTTCAATTGTCGGAAGGTGCTGAGAACGGGAAAGCATCCCAATTAACAATGGACGCAATTGAGAAGTTTGCATATCTATCAATTTTAGTGATATTAAATACTAAGAATATATAGGTAAAATCAAAAACCTTCTCCTTTCTTTGGCTCCCATCCAAAACGCTCAGCAACAGGTTCAATGACTTTACAAACAAAGCGATTGAATTTATCTTTCAGTTCAACATCATTCATATTTGCAACAAGTTGTCTAATTTTCGCTAAACCTGTAGCAATAGATTGCCAAACAATCAAGTCATCTTCTTTATCACAGACAGAAAAGAAGTCGAGAAATTGTGAAATCGGAAGATGTCCAGCAGATATCACCTAAAAAATAAAATTTTAAAACTTTTAAACAAATATCCTTACAGCAAAAAGGTCATCAGCAATCTGAAATCTATCAATAACATCAAGTTCTTTGTCTTGAATTCCTTGAAGAAGCTTTTTTAACATTTCGTCTGGATAGAAAACTCGAAAGAAAGAAGAGAAGTTTGAATTGACCTCAAAATTAAAAGAATCTTTTTAAAATCAAACATCAAAAACCTTAATCCATTCTGAAGACTTAACACCCTCAATAACAAATTTATCTTCTTCTTTAGTTAATAAAAATTTTGCAGCAGGCTTTGAAGGATCAGATCGAACAGTTACAGAAACTGGAATTTGCCAAACTGGTTTATTTTCATCAATACTTCCATCAATTAGAAAACGTCTTTGTTTTAAAGTCAATTCACGTTTATCGCCATCCAAAATTTTTTCTTGGACAGTTACCAAAGGAAACCCAACTTGTTGTGTCCAAGAAGACATTAAAGAACCAACATCCTTAAATAATTAAACTCATCTTATTATTTATTTTAATATTACAATTCCCGAAGCTTCATTCAAGCATTTCCAAAGATCCGAAGTAATCGCATTTGAATATTTAAAACGATCCAAATATATTTGCGCTCCTTTCTGGAATGTTGGCTCCCCCAAATAATTAAATAACATCCGAATAACAGAACAAGATTTAGCGTAAGTTATAGCATCATAGATCTCTTCTAATTCATTTGGATTGTTGATTGGGACCTTAGAAAAGCCAAATTACAATCATAAAGTAAATATTAAATTACCTCAATTGGGTGAGAATTTCGAAGACTGTCCCTCTCCATAGCAGTCATTATTCGTGAGCTGATAAAGTTCATCCACACTTTAAACTCCGTAAAATTATGGCCAATTAAAACATATTCCATAAATGAAGCGAAACCTTCTTTGAGCCATAAGTCACACCACCATTTCTAGTAAAGCAAAAAGAATTTAAATTTAGATGTACATAAGACTAACCATTGTTGTCAAATTTCCAAACCAAAAATGCCCAACTTCATGTGAAACAATATGTGTAATCCTTTCTTTTAGAGTTGAAGAGGTCAAAACAGGATCACAAAGAATACAAACTTCACGAAAAGTTATTAAACCCCAATTTTCCATAGCACCTAAAATTCTTAATAATTTATTGCCAAAAAGTTGCAAAAATAAACCCATAGAAAATTCAGGAATTGCAATCAAGTCACATTTTGGAAGAGGCATTTTAATTCCATACCATTCAGAAAACCATTCAATAGCTCTAACGGCAACTGAAAGTGAATAATGTCCTTTATCTTTCTTTCCGGGTACAGTATAAACACGAACAATACATCCATCATTTGTTTTTGACTAGAAAAATAATTTGAAATATAAAAAATTTTACTCTATGAAAGGAGTTTTTTAGTAAAAGTCAAGCTGGTGTGTCAAGCTCAAAGTCAATCTCATTTTTCTAGGGAGATGACAAAATGAGAAAAGGGAACTCATGGAATATACTAGTGTTGGGCACGAGACGATATATCGACGATATTTTTCGAAATATCGCGAGATTTTTTTCGAGATTATCGATCTCGATCTCGTATCGGTCAAGTCAGAAATATCGCGAGATTTTTCGCTACTTTTTTTATGTTTTGTCGCTTAATCGAACAAAGAAAGGTAATGAAACTGATTGGGTAATTGTTGAAGATCATAATTATATTGATTGAAATAAATTTTTATTCAATTCTAAGGGATTATAAAAAATATCGAAATATCTCGATAATCTCGAAAATTTTGGACCGAGATTTTTCGATATCGAGATTTTTCGAGATTATCGATAACGATATCGACTCGATCAATTTTTGGAAAAATCGAGATTTTTTCGATATCGAGATTTTTCGATAATCTCGATCTCGAAAAATCGCGTTTGCCTAACACTAGAATATACCGACTCAAGGAAAAAAGTCAAGGAACGACCAACTCGGAATATTTTAAAAATCTGAATTTTTCAAATTTTTTTTGTTAAATTCTGTTTTTTGAAGTATTCTAATTTGTTTAAATTCTTATTTTTCAAAATATTTAGATTTTTCAAAAAATTCCGAATTTTAAAACATTCCTTGAGTTGGTCGTTCCTTGATTTGCTATTACTTGAGTTAGCCCAACACGATTATTCCAGCACTCCTTTCATATAGAGCCAAAAATTTACCTCAATATATTCAAATTCTCCAACAGCAAAAGCAACCAAATAAGTGGACATTAATGGAGTTCTGGCAAATGTTACCATTTTTTTGCCATTTCCAATAACTTTTTCTTCAGTAACATTCATATTAGATAAAGCAGTTAATTGTTCATCTACTTCTAATTGAATATCAAAATGAGCTTTGTAAGTAGGCTCATCAAAGCATGGAAATGCACGTCGAGCATAAACACTTTCAAATTGTGTACTAGCCAGCATTTTCTTGTTTCCAGCCTCATCTTTGTAGGGAGATCTATTTTTGAATAAATATTAAAGTGTTCGAAAGAATTAAATCATTTTACCTATAAAAACCTTTCAATTCATTGGAAATTCCTCCAATAAATTCCAAGTCAAGTTCCACACTTTGCGGCGCAAGTTCATTCGGAAAATGAACAGTTAATAATTCCCATCTTCGGTCAAGCTCAATTTTTAGTTCTTTAATGACTAAAAAAATCATTTTTAATTTTAAGTAGTAAAATTTAAACAAAACCCGTTCCATCAGCCAATTTCAAAGAAGTTTTTTCGATTTCAATTTCTTTCGAATGAAGTTTAAAATAACTGGTTGGCTTCAAAATCTATAAAAAAATGTCAAATTATTTATTAATTAAACAAAAACTTACATCCAAATATATTTTCTCTGTACCCTTAAATGTAGATGATCTCAAACACGGCGCAAGTTGAATCTCGTATCGAGAGGTCTTAACGAGTTCAGGCAATTTAGAGAACTTCTCTTCAGTCATTGTTGTATATTAAAGAAATAAAAATTCACGTTTTATGTACTTTAATATTTCCTGTTTTTAAAGAAAATAAAAAGAAAAAAAATTATAAGATAAAACTACTAACAAAAATGAAATAAAGAAAAAATTTATTTTGATTATAGTAAAAAATTATAGTAAAAATTGGTTTAGTTTTAATTTTTCAGACATTTGAGGACAGACATATGAGGACAGACTTTTGAGGACAGACATATGAGGACGGACATTTGAGGACGGATTTTTGAGGACGGACATTTAAGGACGGACATTTGAGGATACAAAATTATATACAAATTGGCAAAATCTTAACAAAAAATGCCAAAAATTAATGAAATATTGAAATAAATTATGATTTATTTGTAACATAAAATGAAAAAGAGCTTAATTTTAGTAAAAAAACTTTATTTTGCTTGAAACCAGAGAAAATCGTCATTTCAAGACAGAAAATAAGGAAAAGGTATCTTGTGCAATTTCAGATGGACATAAGACATTTTGGGAATGCTTAGTGGATTTTGAGTTTTTTTCAGTGGAAGGTTTTGAGGGCTTATGTTCAGAGGGTGTTTCGAGGCATATTATGTTTATAGCTCGACGAATTGGGTATTTTACTCAATTGGACATTTTGAGATTAGGCAAAAGATAGATGTTTTAAGGGTTTGCTCATTTTCGGGTTTATTCATTGGGACATTTTTTCTTACTTTAAATAAGCTAGGATTTCCCCTTTTCAGCGCCGCAGGCGAAAATTTTGGAAATTTCTGAGGACAATCCCCAAATTTTTTCCACTTTTTTCTGAAAATTTATGAAAATTCACAAAATTTTGGCAAAAATTTGCAACAATATTGAAATAATTTGCAAAAAGTGCCAAATATTGAAATTACGGGAAAATTGGCTAATTTTGTAGTTATTTTTTATTTTTTCCATATATCCGTCCTCAAATGTCCGTCCTCATATGTCCGTCCTCATATGTCCGTCCTCATATATCCGTCCTTAGAGATCGGTAAAATCGCATTTGCAGGATCCTGTAACAGGATTGGGTTTTTAAATTTCTAACAGGACAGGATCCTGCAGGATTAATCCTGAAAATCCTGCCAATCCTGTCAATTTTTTTCCAGGATCCTGTCCAGGATTTCGGGATTTTCAAAAAATCTCAAAATTTCTCAAAATTTATGCCTGCGGCGCTGAAAATCAAAATTTTTAATTTTTGTCTAATATGTCCCAGCTGAATTTTCGCTGATGTGAGAAATGTTGTTTCCGTCATTGGTACGTCATCCCCACTGTTGGAACAACTTCCCCCATCACTGAGTCAACATCCCCCGTTGTTGGGTCAAAAATTTGGTATTTCAAGTAGTGTAAGTCGAGTACCAACTAATAGAGGAAAAACCTAGTTCAAGTAATGCCGCTTCGGAAGGCCAAATCCCTCGCTATATCCTTAGATTCCTTCAAATATTCGAATATCACTAAAATCCAGTAATTTAATTCAACGATATAACTCAAAATACTCCTTAATCTGTCCAAATTCTCAGATATATCATTCAACTTCCCTTTACAGCGCCGCAGGCAAAACTTTTGGGATTTTGGTGCCAGATTTTATCCTTTTTCAGCGCCGCAGGCGAAAATTTTGAGGATTTTGGAAGGCCAGTAAGACAAAAATCGTCCTTTTTCAGCGCCGCATGCGACAAAATAAAATCCTGAACCATGAAAATGTACAGGACGGATCCTGTAACAGGATTGGGTTTTAAAATTTCGAACAGGACAGGATCCTGCAGGATTAATCCTGAAAATCCTGGAATCCTGATAATCCTGAAAACTGAAAAAAAGGCAGGATTTCGGACAGGATCCTGAAAAATCCTGTGCGGGATCCTGTCCTGTGCCGATCTCTATCCGTCCTCATATGTCTGTCCTCATATGTCCGTCCTCAAATGTCTCACCACCAAAAGAAGAATAATATAACGATGACAAAAGTAATTGATGACAAAGGATATTTTTGAAGACAGCATCAACAATCACAAAAGTAAAATAAAAGAGCGAACGATAAAACTGCTGTGATGAAAAGGACACGATAACTTTTTAGTGACTGTACAAAAGACCGTTATAACAAAAGACCGAAACGGCAAAAGGGGGTTAAAAGACCGGTCCCAGTCTTTTTTTTGCCCGTTCCGGTCTTTTTTTGCTTCGGTCTTTTGTACAGACACGCTTTTTATTATTTTACAATTTTTCAGTTTCTTTTATTGTTATCATTTTTGCAAAAAATTTATTTCTACAAATTTAGTAAAAATTATTTAAAAACAAAATGGAAGCAATACTTTCTCCACTTTCTAATGCTGATGGTTCTTGTGAATTAAAATCAAATTTATCTTTGGTGCTTTGTGGAGTTATGGGTCCTGGTGATATTTCGTCTTCAAAACGACTCTTTGACAAAGCAAATATTTTCTTTTCTGTTAACAGAATTCCACAAAAAAGTAAAGAAGGTTGGAAAACAAATTTTTAAATTAAAAATTTTCAAAAAATTTTCTTTTCTTAAAGAATTAGCTTCAACAGTTCGCCCATCTGTTTCTAAACCAAATTCTTCATCATTATCTTCTTTTGCTCATACTTCTGATCGTTTTATTTCTTCTATTGTTAAAGCATCAATTGACGAATTTGCCTATCCCCGAACTTGCATTCAAATTTGTACTCAAGAATTAAAAGCTGACGGGCCAACAGATGCTTTACATTTAAATTCTATTTGTTTGGCACTTTTGGATTCTGGAATTCGAATGCATTATGTATTTGCTTCTGTTACAATTGGAATTAGGTAAAACGTTAATTTATCAAAAAAATACTTTTTCTTTGTAAATATTTTTTTAAGAATCTTAAAGTCCTTTAAAGTAAATTTAGTGAATTAGTTTTTAATTTTTCGAGAAGGGATTTTTTCGGTTTATTGGGAATACTCCATGTCCCTTTATCAGACCCGTAACCAGGATTTTTTCAGGGGAGGGGCCAAGGGGGTGGGGGAATTTTCTGCGCCGAATTTTTGCACCAAAAATTTTGATTTTTAGCACCGCAGGCGAATATTACTGCCTGCTCTCTATTATTTTTTAAATTCATAGAATACAAATTCCCTTTGCTAACGCCTACATAAAATTAAATATCGAGCATAAATACTTTTTTGTTGTGTTTTTTAGTACTCTTACAAATAAAATTTAAATATCTAGACATTTATTTTTTAAAATAAATTCCATTCAAATGATTCACAAAAATGCTTAATTTTAAAAACTTTATTTAAAATTCTTTTAACCATTACTTTAACAAAAAAATAAATTTTTTTAGAGCTATAGATGGTGAATTACTGATAAATCCAGACCAACTCCAATCAAATGCTAGTAAAGCTATTTTAACTTTTGTTTTTCGACCATCGATTATTTTAAGCGGAAAAATGATTGGGACACATTCAGCAGGAGAATTTACATTAGAAGAACATAATGTAAAGAAATTTAATTAAAATTAGAAAAAAATTTTTTCAGAAAGCTTTGAAACTTGCCGAACAAAATTGCCTTGAATTATTTGATTTTTATCGTCAAAAAATGCAACAGAAATTTATTTATCATATAAAACCAAATTAAATGTTAAAAATTTATTTTTTATTTATTTTATGATCTACACAAATTATTATGTACTTTTTATGTTTATTTGTTGTTTAGGAAATGAGTTAAATTAGATAAAAAAATTTTTTTTATTTGTTTTTCTTTCAAATGTTACATCATTTTTATATATTAAATTTTGATTTGTTTGAGAAACATTTTTATCCTAGAAATTTTATTTTTTTTCACAAAAATTATGTTTTTGACTGTTTTTGAGTTTATTGTAAATTTAATTTTTACACGTTAATTTGTATGTTAAAATTAGGGTAGCACCTTGAGCTTTCGGAGGCGGGAGTGTTGGGTTTGCCGGGGTAGAGTCTTCGGGGTTTGGGTTGGGGGTTTTTGCCAAAAAAATTCCGGTATCGGGTTACTACTCTAATTAAAATTATATCGCGCATAAAATAAACCCTTTACATCCAATAATTTTTGTGGAAGTAAAATTTGTAAAATAAATGAGGCAAGAAAAGACTACCTAAAAATTATTTTAGGTAATTTTTAAGTTGTGTGTTTGTAACAAAAATAAAATATTTGAGTGAGCAGCTGTTTTTCTGCAAATGCATAATATGTATAAATAAATGTATTTGTAATCTACAAATACAAATATTTTTAAAAAAATATTTTGCAAAAAAAACCCACACACAATTAGTTTTGAGGATTATTCAATTTTCACTGTAATTTTATAGGCAGTATTCACTTGAACTTTTTTTCGAATTTTATTCAAACTAAAGTAAATGGCTGCTAATTTTTGATCTAGACAACTCACATCTTTAAAACTAAAATTTTTTTTATTTTGTTTAGATCGATTTATAAAGCGATCATTTATGTAATTCTAATGTTCTACTGCGAATTTTTTATTTTTTAAAAATAAAACTTTTTTTTTATTTTTTAACGCCTAGTCGATTTGTTTTTTTTACATTTTTACACTTTATTTTATTCAATTTCTTTTTTTTATTTCCTTTTGTAAAGTTGATTAATATCAGCAAATTACATGTATATTTTAAAACTTAGCTATTATAAAAATGTAAAATTAATTTATTTTTTATTTTTTAGAGCTTTAGACATTTATTGCTAATTTTTGTTTTAATACAATTTTGAATGCATGACTCTTTCCCCTCTGGAAGCAAAATAGCTCAAGAAACTAATTCATCAGAACAACTTCACCAATGGTGCAATGAACATTGTTTACCCCATCATGAACACTCACAACATTCCCATTTACAGCAAAATGCGAGGCCGTCTCCTTTACTTGGTTTGTTCTTTTGTCTAAATTTTATTTAAATTTTAAATAAAAAAATTTCAGTTTGGTCTGTTGGTCTTTCCTTTGTTACAGGTTCTTTATTGAAATGTTTTTGAAAAAATTATTTTTAAATTCTCAAGTTGTGGGGCTATGTGCAGTTGTAGGAATTTTGGTGATGCGAGTTCTCACCAAAAAATACTACAATCGCTTCATCACATTTTTTGTCAGCGTTGGTGTTGGATCTCTTTCTGGTTCAGCAATGTTTCATCTCCTACCACAGGCCTGTTTAAATAAATTTTGGGATTGTGAGATTAGTTTCTTCTTTTTGGATTTTCCCTCCCTCTTTTTTCATATTTAACACCTAGCAATTTAAGGTAATCAAAACAAAAGGGCAATTTTTTAAATAAAGGCTTTTGACCTGGCTCAGGAGCACTCTCATGGGAGTTTTGGCGAAGAGCATACCCATGACAATCACGACTACCTGAACAAGTCTTTCGCGGCAATTATAGGGATCTATTTGTTTTTCTTTTCGGACAAAATCATCAAAATTGTCGTCGAATCAAGAAAGGTTTTGTTAACTTTAATTTTAATATTTTTTAAATTTTATCTAATTAGCGACCCCAGAAAGACTCAGCAGAACTTCACCAAGCAAGGCATCGACATGGCAACTCGAAAACAAAGGAGCACCCAGAGAATGGGCAGCCAACAAATGGAAAGGATTTGAAGGCGGACCAGGTAATTTTTTGTTTTTTTAACTTTCTAATGGGTTTTCGATATCTGTCAATAGTAGAGGTCGGCAAAATCGCAATTCCGGGACCCCAGATCGGGATTTTTTTCTTAACTAATGCCGGGACGGGATCCCGAGGGTTAAATCTCGAAAAAATCTCGGATCCCGAAAACCAAAAAATCCGATATTTCGGGAGAGGTCGATAGAAAAATTTGAGAACTAGCAATAAGCAATTCGGATCCCATTATTTTTATTGTCTAAAATATTAAAATTTTAGAGCAATGAGAATTTACTTCGTACTAATGAAGGAAAAGATAAAAGGTTCGATGTTGATCATTCAATTAAACAACAGGTTTGTTTTTATTTCTCGTCAATATTTAAAAAATGCTAGACACACGCTTTATGTATCCATGATCATGATGTAAAAGAAGGCGATTCAGTAATTGCTACAGTTGCTTGGATGATTATTCTTGGTGATGGGTTACACAATTTTATTGACGGTGTTACCATTGGTGCTTCGTTTTCTGAGTCGTTATTGAGCGGTATAAGCGTTAGTGTGGCTGTGCTTTGTGAAGAATTCCCTCATGAATTAGGTTTGTTTTTAGAGTATTTTTTGTTTCTAAAAATCCTTTTAAAATTTTAGGGGATGTTGCAATCCTTTTAGACTCGGGTATGACAATGCGTCAAGCATTGTTTTACAATTTACTTTCTGCTTTAACTTGTTATATTGGATTCATTATTGGAGTTTTGATTGGAAATATAACACACACATTTGCTGCTTATACTTTTGGGTTTGCTGGAGGAATGTAAAAATAGAATTTGTTTAAAATTAAAAAATTTTATCTTAAATTTTCAGGTTTTTATACATATCGCTTGTATGCTTTAATTTTTTTAAATTTAAAATATTTTATTTAAGGGCTGTATGATGCCTGAAATGAAAAATGCAATGGAAAAAGCCTTAAATGTTTCACGCAAAAGTGGATTGGAGGTTTTAGCACTTCAAACGTCAGGACTATTAACAGGTTTTTTATCAACTAGATAAGACAAAAATGATATTTTTAGGGCTAGCATGCATGTATTTAATGGCGCGTTATGGGGAAAATATAGAATTTTAAGAAGCGGATGTTGTTTTGTTTTTTGGATACACCTATGCATTTTGTTCTCTCTTTATCATTTAATATTTAATTTACACGCATTATATTGTTACAGTCATGCCATGTCGGCGTTCCATTTGCTTTCACATGAACATGTAAAACTTGATTATAAACTCTAACTCGTTGATTTTGCACTGAATTTTACTTTATATTTGACCTTAAGTTACCTAGCGCTAAAATGAACTTTATTCTGGTTACTCCCTCTTAATTCGAACGTCCAACGTCAACTCACATCGACCGATAAAATACACTACACTCGAAACTGAGTGCCCTCTTCCTACTGCTTACCTACCTAAAACAGTCAAACATCTATTTACATGGTTTTCATATATTTATCCGATTTAAAAAGAAATGATAAATGGTGAAAATAGGTATATACTTGGACAATAAAATCCATAAACTATCAATAATCCAAAATTTCTGTTTCTTATGATCCGCACACTGTCAGTCCTTAAATTCGTTGAAGAAAATTCGGTGGCTCATAGAATGTATCAACGACCTAAAATTGACATTTATACATAACCAAAAGGAATGCCTACCGAAAACTTCTGTCCACGATTCTGCCCACGCATTCTGCCGAAGAATTGCTGTCGACGAACAAAGCGTTTCGAATTGTTGTTCTGAATCTGACCAAATTTCTGACCACGATTTTGCTGCTGAACGAGAATATATTGAGTTCTGCGTTGTGGTCGGCTCAAGATAACCTGTTGCACACGACGTCCAGCACTTGGCTGTTGAACAATAAAATTCTGAGTCGGCTGCTGTTGTTTAGCAAATTGATTCTGAAGTTGTTGAACACGACTAGCACGACGCATTGCATTAATCTGGGCACGAACTGATGATCCTTGACTGCCGCTTTGACCATTAAAGCTTATTTGCTGACGACGGGGCGTAGTAAAAAGCGATGACGTTTGAGGTTGAAGTACAATTTTTTGTGGTTTAGCAGAAACGATGCGTGGAGGTAATGAACTAAAAAAATGCAAAATTAATGATTTGATCTAAAACTTACACAACATGCTGAAAAGCCGGCACTTGAGTATTAAAACGAATTGGCCCTCTATCAGTTTTAACACGTCGCGTTGCCATAATAGGAGAATTATTTGCAATTATACGGCGTCGACCAATTATTCGAGATTGAACATTGACACGGCTGAGAATGTTCTTTTGGCGAAGACGATTTGCACGAACACGCATTTGCCTTCTACTAGGACGAACACTGACAGGAACGGTAGTCAAATTCTGAGCAATCGCTTTCTGAAAGAATTAAAATTTTCTAAATTAGATAATTTATAAAAACCTTGACAAGCTTCCTGACCAAATTTTTAGTAACCTTCATCATATTTCTATTCTTCTGAATTCTAGCATTTTTAACATTCGCAAAAGTCTGGCGCTTATCAACCACAATTCTTTTCTTAACGTAAAAAAAGATAAAAACAAACAATTTATTAAAGTCACCTGCATAGGACCTGTTGTCAGCTTCTTTTTGTTCCCAAAACGAGCAACTCGACCAAGGCCACGAGAATTTCGCTTGAATTTCGAAACACGGTTGTTTTGTTGGCGCTTCTTCGCAAAAACTTTACGCGCACCAACGTTTCCACCCATCGGCTTCTTTCCGGCAGTTTGGCCCTTACGCTTTTGAGCATCAATGATCTGGTCTAAAATTAGCAAATAACTACTGTTTATTGCAATAACAAATTTACCCAAGCTCATCTCCAGCTTTGAAGTTGACATTGCCATATTGCAAGATATCTAAATTTGCTGGAGACAATAATGCCGATAAATAATTCACAATGGGCTTTGCCGGGAGGGTTTTACGGGTTGTCATTCAAAAGCGCGTCGTTTCAATATTTTTATTTTGGTTGTTAAAATAACTGTTTTTGCAGTTTTAGCACCACTTATTGAATAGGTCAAACTCATCCTGTTATACTGACAATAAGCACAACCATGTCATCTCCATATTTCTTGGGGTTCCCATTCGGCTTTATTGAACTCCATGTGATTTACCCTGTTACAACTTTGCTTCCCTCACGATCAATTAAACAAAATTTTTTTGTTAAAAATATATCTTATATAAATTGCCAAAACATACGCCAACGCATCCCTAAAGGTAGCTTTAACACGGTAAAAATTTGAATCACAAAACATCAAAGGATAAATCAAAATAAACAGCTTACAAATTTCCGTTGTGTTGAAGTAATTGAATCAAAATTAAGTCAAATCAATTTAAATATTTGTCCTGAAATATAAAATAATCAGATAAACAAACACACATAAAACCAAGAAAAGTTAAGAAATGTAACAAATGAATAGTAAAAACGTGCAGTGTGACTCCTATATTTATGCAAGCTACTGTACTATAAAAAATTAAAATCGATATTAAATCAATTCATTCGTTTCGAAACAAATTTATTCGAATTTTGGCAGACAATTTTTTTATTTTTAGCTGTTGTTGCAAAAGAAAAGTAGAGAACAACGTGTCGTTTGCCTGTTTAAAAATAGAGAGTTAGCGACATTTCTTTTAATTTTTGAAGAATTTTGCCTATTTTTTTTGTTTTTTTAAAGATTTTTAGTTTATTTAACTTGTTTTAATTTTATTTTGGCTGAAAATGACCAATCAAGAGGTGGGGAAATTGGCCTGGTTAAAGAATATTTTTATAAAAAATAAGGATAAAAATGATGCTGAGGAAGAGCCGATACGTGTAAATAAATGGGACGGTGCTAATGTGAAGAATACATTGGATGACACTGTGAAGAAGGTGATTTGTTTTTAAAAATATTTTACGTAAATATACATTAAAAATTTGTCCCAATTAAAAATAGATAATCAATGACAACTATGGTTGGACTGAATGTCACTCGTTGGCCAATGGCCGTTTGGCACTTTCATTTTTGGCAGTGGCTTTTGCCGGTTTCGCTCTCATCTACGACTACTTCCGTCCTTTCCCCGCATCAAAATCTGTGAGTCCTTTTTAAATAAAATTTGATTGAATTTCTTGTTTAGGTTCTTGCCTTGTGTTCAATTAGTTATTTTGTTATGATTTTTATATTGCAAATTTATCAGTGGTATGTGGAGAAGTTAACTTTTTACCAAGCGATGGAATCAAGTAAAGATGAAAAAAGCCCGCCCAGTTACTGGAAATGGTCTTCTGACATGAAACGGTTTTTTTGTTTTATTCTAATTTAGTTGATTATTTTCTAGATATGATGACAAGTATATATTGATCGCTGAGTTCTCACAAGGTACTAGGTCTGGAACAATGAAGGTGGTCAAATCAATTGCCGCTTATATTAGCGAGGATGGTGAAGTTCTTTTGCCCTTAGTGAAGAAAGAGGTGGACCAGTTACGAAACAATCTTCTCAAGTCAGACAAGGCAGAATAATCTGAGAAGCTGAACAGGGGAGTATGTCTTAAAAGATATTTTTCTGTTGTTATATTCTTGCTGCTGGCTATTTTTCCAAAATTTTATGGCTATTCTGTTAAAATTAAGAAAAATAGCCGTTGCAGTTTTTTCTATCTATTTTTATCTTCTTGTCTTTTTGTTTTTGTTAACTATTTTGGGTGATGTTTTATTTTTTGAATGCCTAACGTTGAAAATGTCGGCATTTTCTTTCAATTTGTCTCCTTATTTTTTATGATAGATTAAATTTTAAAATTAATCTTTCATTAAAAATCTAATTTTTGAAAAAGATATAAATATATTCATTTATTTTTATTTGTAAATTGTGCATATTCCAATTTATTTCGGGAACCCTTCGCTTATACCTATGTATTTCGACTTATTTTTAGGCTAACAAGGAGGCAAAATCTTAAAATTTTTTAGGAGATAAGTTCAGTTTTCGATGTTTCCTTGTATGCTAAAAAATTTTTTTACGTATCGATAAAAAATTTTTTCCGATGATTTTAAATTTTTTTGTTCATAAATTGTTGCTTTATTGCAATATTTTTATTTATTTTGAGTACATCTTGGACTTTACCTTAGTCGGCGCTTTTGTTTATTTCCTAAATCGGTATAGCCAGTAACCTTTTTCTTTACAATTTAAAAATTTTTAGTTAAAATTCTGGGTTGGCTGTGGTCCTATTCACTTATTTTTAACAACATCGAAAGGTACATAAGCCCAAAAAACCAATTATTATTTTTATGGATCTCGATGGCAGTCAATGTGTTCCGACACCATCAACTTCAACTGCAATATTAAATCAAAATAGTGTTGGATTGGATGCTAGTTTTGTAAAGGTTTGATAGAATTAAATAAATTCTCCAGTATGTTCTAAATAAATTTATATCTGCTGGCGCTTGAGTCTTATTTTTACTCATTTTCTGTAAAATATTTCGGCCATAGGAACTCATTTAAAAAATTTTTTTAGACAAACTATTTTCATAAATTTATTTAGTCGATTGCTGAACAATTGGGTATTGAATTGCCGGTCGTTTCATGTCAACAAGTATCGGATGAAGTTTCTGCCCATCTTCGAAAGATTTTAAAACTTGTACGTAAATTTCACAAATGCAGTAGACGGCGGTGGATTACTGCAGATGATTTGGAGGTTGCAATGGCTTTTTATGGTCATTCTCCAGTATGTTTTAATTAAAATTATGAAATGTTTGGAATTAGATGAGACATTTTTTTTTGAAATTGGGATAGTGAATTGATTAATTTGATCTGCTTTAGCTCATGTCCAGCTGTGAATCTACTGATCCTTCCCTCAGGCATGTTGGTAAGCAGGGGCGTGATGTTTTTGTCTGCGATGACCAAGAGTATGAAATTGGAACATTTTTATCTTCGCCATCTGGAAAGATGCCACTAGAAACAACACTTAAAGGTAATTGTTTCTAAATTATTTTTATAATTTTATAAAAATTTCTCTCATTAGCTCATTGGTTGGTTATCACCGGAACACAACCAGCAATCCCAGAAAATCCTTTGCCACCTGCTCCCCCTGAAATTTGTCTTTCTGATGATCATGCTCAGGAGCAGGCTCTAGTAAATGGCTCTACGGGTAGTGGTGGTCTTTTCCTCAATCAGGCTGCCAAAACAATGCGTAAAACAGAGCAAGTTCAACTTAAATCAACTATAACACATTCATTGTCTTTGGTATTTGAGAACATTTTTATTTTGTAGAAAATTTCTTTTAGGAGCAGCAATTATTCTTCCTCAAGATTATGGAGGCTATTATGGGTCAAGATGAGCAGAAACGCATTGTAAGTAGAATTAGACTATTTTTATAGGAAAACATTTCTTTGGTTTCATAATAGGTCTTGTGGGAAGAATTTTATTCTCGTGTAAATGTTTTATTTTTACAAATTTTAGGAAGCATTGAATTGCTTGCAAATGGATTGTGGTCTTCGCTCGCTCCTTCCAAGATTTTGTATTGCTATAACTGAAGGAGTTAGCCTTAATTATCTTTAAAGGTTTAATTTAACTATTAAGGTTCGATGCAACATAGTTGTCCATAATATGGCTATTCTGGTCTACCTGGTTTGTTTTGGGTTTATTACGAGTTTTTTTATAATGTTTCGATTCTTTAGGTCTGTTTTGGGGGTTTTATTATATTTTTTAAGATGCGTATGATCCAGGCTCTTTCTCAGAATGCTGCTCTCTCATTAGAGCCTTGTGTAAGCTCTACTACTATTATTGCTTTTAAAATATAAATGACAGCTTCATGAACTCTTGCCTGCAATGATGTCTTGTATCCTTAGCCGTCAACTTTCATCCAATCAACACACTTCTGAAACTCACTGTGTGCTTCGTGAATTTTCAGCAGATTTGCTTGCTCAATTACTTAGGTTTTATCAATTTTTTGGGAGAACTTATTTAATTTTTCTTAGGCATTATCGTCTACCACATATTCATACTCGAGTAATTCGCGCTCTTTCAAGAGCTTTTACAGACCAAAACATTTCTTTGCCTACTTTGTATGGTGCTACTTTTGCTATATGCGAGCTCGGCGCTGATGTTTGCTTGAACATTTTTCCAATTTTTTATTTTTAAATTTAGGTTATCCTAAGAATTTTGCTGCCAAATTTGGCGACTATTTGCGAAACTATTCAAAGAGTACATTCTGACAAATTGTATATTAATGAGCGTTCCCTGGCTCAACGGTTATATAATAAATTGGTGGTTAGTTTATTAGATTTAAAAAAAAGAAAATTAACAAATTCCTCATTTAGGAAAAATTAAGTGCTTTTGCACGCGATTCAAACTGCGTGCTGCAGTTGCACACACTTGCTGATTATTGTGATCATTTTGTAGGATTAGCAGAAGACATATATAAAGTGTGCAAAAACAACAACAATAATATTATAACTACACAGGTACATCAATAATTTGTTTCTTCAGAGAATCGTTTTATTATTTCCTTTGTCATTTCATTTCTTTCGGTTTTGTATATTTATTTTAAATTGGTCGGGTACTAATTTGGTATTCAACCAATGCACTCTGCCTAGTACTATAGACCTCATAATAATTATATTTTCAATACAGAAAATATGCAGAAATTAAATATATTTTTTCTACTCATTCAGTGGACCTCTTTCCAAAATTTTTGTTATCATTTTATTAGAAAGCAAATTGAAAATTTATTATAAAGCAAATTGGAAGCAACCCTTCTTGGCATTCACATAGGTAATTCCAGATAGTGTGGGTCATTTAAAAGCTTTCTGCTTCGTTATTTGCAAACCTAGCAATGTTTAAACAATCTGTTACGAAGGTTAATCATCATATTTTATTTTTATTCAAGCTATATGCAGAACTAATTTGACTTGTGCGATTTGCAGGTAAAAAACAGAAATCTTGGGCTAGGTTATCATGTTTTGTGTGAATGCCAAGCAGGGTGGACTTTATGCAATTTTTTCAATTTGTTTTTATCAAAAATTGTCAAATAAATATTTTTTATATTTGTATTACTTTATCGAGGTAATAAGAATAAGATCAAATAATTAATTGAAAATTAAAGATCACTCTTCTAGTTCTTAAGTTACGTAAGGCCTTAAAATTCGACCTCATTTTCCAAAAAAATTTGACTAATAAGATAGGTTTCATGTTTCAAAAAGTGTAATAAACCTGATAGTGTTTTATCTTTTGACTAAATTATTAGGTCTAAATTAAATTTTGCAGCACTGATTTTTGAAGAACACTCATATGTATATTTATGCTTTTGTAAATTTTTGTCAAAAATTTAATAATAAACTTACCGAAACAGAAAATAAAAAGGAATTGTTTTAATATTTAAGTTAGTTTTTCTCTCTCTCTCAGTTCTACTTTTTTGAAAGCACAAAAAATAAACTTGTAGAAAGCACTTAAATTAATAAAAAAATAAAAAGCTGTGGGCCGTGACCGTGAAAATTACATAACGAGAAAAGAAAATTAAAAGACTTTCTTTCCTTTAATTATTCAATTTATTTTTGGAAAGTAAACATAATTAGGCAAAAAATTAACAAAAGATTTATAAAAAATTTAAACAATTGGAAAAGTCATTTAAAAATAAAAATAATATAAAAATACAAAAGGAAAAAACAAAAAAATCACAAAAAATTTTTTAATAAAAACTTTGAGAAAGAATTGAAGATGAGGAAAATTTTATATATAAAGGCGGGCCAAAAAGGTGTTAAAATGTGTCTTTTAATGCATGACAAAATTTGTAAAATAATTTTATTAAATAAATTTATGTTTCTGGTTTGACATATTTTACTTTGTAAAAATATTGCCATTAAAAGAATGGAGAAAGGAGTTTGGATGTATCTACAATTATTTTTAATTATTTTTAATTACAATTATATTTTGGTTTATTCTATTTTGGAACCAAAATTGTGAGAGAAATTTTGATTTATTGAATTAATAAAAATTTTCAAAAAATTTTTTTCAATTAGCCGACTTCCCCGTGCAGCACCAGGAACACCACCTGACGCTGGAGGTATCGATATAACCGAATCGCTTACACAAGAGACAATTAATTCAAATAATATGCCATTACCTGTAGTGCCTGTACTTAGACCTCCCCCAGGTTGGGGATCTCCACCATCCATTCCAGATCCTCCAAGTATACAAACACCGACTGGTAATTTTTTAATATTTTTTTTTTTCATTTAAATAATTTTGAAAAAATGTAGATTTAGCTTCTATCAATGCAGCCAGTCCTCCAGGCTCTACAATGGAAGAAACATTAAGTATTGCTGAGAGAGGAATTGCTGGACCACTCATTCCAAAAATACCACAAATAACACCACCTCCTATAATTCCACCGCAAGAAACTATTTTGGAAAGTCGCTTCATTTCATCGCCAATGGGGTTATAAATTAATTAAATATAAATTGGTAGAAAGGCTTCTCCTATTGAGATTCCAAGAATGGGACCCAAAAATCTCTGACTAGGGCTTTTCATC